CCACCTAAAGAGGTCGGCATCAGGGGTAGAACATTCGACCTCACCTCAGGTAAGTGTCTGTCCCTACTCACTCACTCACTACCCCTACTCACTCACAACCTACTACTCACTCACTACTACTCACTCACTCCCTACTCACTCTACACCTCTGTACACTCACAATACTACTCACTCACTACCCCTACTCACTCACAACATACTACTCACTCACCCCCTACTCACTCTAATCTCTGTACACTCACAACACTACTCACTCACTACCTATACTCACTCACAACCTCACTGTTACATTGAGAGAATCTCTGTGTTGATGATGAGCGTGAAGATTGCTCTAGTTGGATGCTGGGATGATCTGATGTCAACGTGTCCTGCAAATCCTCTCTCGGCCTGCCAAAGCCTTCAATCTTTGTTTTACTGAAAAAACGTGTATATATATATATATACACACAGAGAACACGTACAAGTACCACATGCGGACCCACGCACGCACGCACGCACGCACGCACGCACAAATATAGTGTGTATTTGTATATAAACATGCTCGTGATACTACTACATTCATTATATATATTAGATACATAGTTATAATACGTGTTCACGAGGTGTTGATCATCTCCGCTTACATCCCAACAACCTCCTCCTCTGTGTTAGGTATGATAGAGAGCACGGAGAACACGTATACAAGTACCACATGCAGATCCAGCACTCACGCACGCACGCACGCACACACGCACGCACGCATAATATGATGCATGCTTATGCGGGCCCTTTTCTCTCGTGGCCTATCTCCTTATTTGGCAATTGCTTTCTCATTTTTCGTTGATTTCCCACGACAACCTCATGTATGTATGTATGAGAAATTAAAATCCGGACCAATGGTACAAGGCGTGAATCTGTTCGATGTTTATTCAGGCCTGCTGCCTATGGACGCCTTCTATATACTGCTGTTCACCACCTAAATCCACCACATGAGGCCGTGGCAATTAGCTTGTACACACGTAAGCCGGGCTGCATGATGTCGGGTTGCGATTGAATGCGACGCGACGCGACTGCAGTGCTTACACGCGACATCGCACATTTATTTACACACATGCATAGGCGCGCACACAGGCACTTGGAGCGTTTCAATAAAATATAATGCTAAATAAATACGAAATCTATTTATTACCAAAGTCTTAATGTTTCTAATTCTATACTCTCTTTCACCTATTATTGCCGACAATTTCCTGTAAATGCCATCCAAGTGCTTATGTGCAACAAACGCTGGCGGCGGCCATTGCTCACGCTGCACACTGAAACATAAATAAGTGTCCGCAGGACTAACAACTATGGGGCATTTACTAGTCCTTCTTATTTTTTTACTAGTCTTGGACTAACGGACTAGCATTATAGTGTCGAACGACTCGAACCCTGGCAGGGGGTGAGAATATCACGGGGGGAAGGAAGTCTCAGCAGCTAAAGATTGTTAGTGTCGTACGATAGTCACACTACAGTATCACCGGCAGCTGCGGATCAGTATTTTAACCTTAACTTAAGAAACTAGAATAACATGAAACGCCAGCGATTTCACTAAAAGTCGATATCGGTTTATTGTTTTACAATTTCCCTAATGCATTCTCCCCTTTATCATCCCCCCCCCCAGCTTTTCTCCCTGCTCAATTTCTCATCTCAGATTCAAGTTTGAGGTTTCCATTAGCAAACCTCTTTCTGACGGATTTCATCAATATACTACATGAAAGTACTCACGCAATCATTTTCGCTGTAGAATCATACGAAAAGCCTTTCGAAATTCCGGATTACCGATACCGTACAGGACGGGGTTCAATGTGCTGTTAAAATATGGCAGCCAGAACAGCAGCGTGTAGGTCGTGTCTGAAATGCTGTTCGGATCCGCTGCTTTCATGTCAAACATGACGAAAAAACTTCCCCAGCAAAATAGGAACGAGACGAGAATGTAGGTGAGCGTGATGAAGGCGCGACGGCTACCGGCACGCCTCGTAGCGGTGGCGGCTGGTACTAGCACGCGCGGCTGTGTCGACGTGCTTGCGTTTTCCACATTCAGAGTACTGACAGCGACAGCGGCACTCACTGGCGCGGGAATTGACGGTTTTTCGTTTGGCGGCTCCTTTCTGGCTACCGTAGCAACGGTTGCTACGCCGGTGACGCTATGAGATGTGTGCTGATTAAACATGGCGCCTCGAGCTCCAGAGACTCTCGCGCGTTTCTTCATGACGTAATACACGCGGAAATAGCAGACGATCATGAGGACGAGCGGAACCTGGTAGCAGATGAACATCACCGAGTAAACGAAGACGACGTTCCGAGCCGGATCCCAGATGCAGTCGTATCGGAATCCGGGTAGCGTCGGATCGCTCCACTTCGGGTGTTCCCGGACGCGGTCGACAATCATCGCCGGTAGAATGAGGATGACGTCAAGCAACCAGACGACGCTGATGATGGCGATCGTCTTTCTAGTCGTGTTGTTGTTTCTGTAGTGAACACTCCAGGTGACGGACCACAGCCGGTCCATGGAGATGGCTAGCATGGTGAAGATAGAAGCCGTTGTCATGAAATAATCAAACGTGATCCAAATAGCGCAGCCAAACTCTCCTGAAATGTGGCACGTGTGTTATATATATATATTAGTTATTTATTACGTTTATTGTATTGTTAAATGATATATGAAATATTATCTATCTATCTTAGGCCTACTATCTATCTATCTATCTATCTATCTATCTATCTATCTATCTATCTATCTATCTATCTATCTATCTATATATATATATATATATATATCCATCCATCCATCCATCCATCCATCCATCCATCCATCCATCCATCCATCCTATCCACCATCATCCATCGCCATCCATCCATCCATCCATCATCCATCCAATTGCCATCCACCAAATTCCATCCATCATCCATCCATCCATCCATCCATCCATCGCATCCAATAGCATCCATCCATCCATCGAGCCATCATCCATCAGCCATGCCATCGCCATGCCATCCCATCCATCCATCCATGCCATCTATCTATCTATCTATCTATCTATCTATCTATCTATCTATATATCTATATATCTATCTATCTATCCATCTGTCTATCTATCTATCTATCTAGTAATAAACCGAATTATAGACCGAATTATCATCATCGTTGTAAACTTGCTGGTTGACATGAAGCTTCCACGACCTTCCCCTTCATAACACGTACGATCGTTTGCAATCACAGATCGTAGAAACGACTACAACACACCACTACACATATAATTCACTAGTACGTGAATCTCCTACACACAGAACCTACGCTCAACAGACTATAATGTATGTACAAATATATACAGAGATGAAAAAAGCGACGATGAAAAAAAACAAAGATGAAAGATTAATAATTATTATGTGTAAACTTTACTTACCGAGTGGCCAGTAGTTTAGGACGGTATAGATGGAGTAAAACGGTATGACAATAGCGCCGACCGTCACGTCTGTGACGGCAAGGTTGACGATGTAATAGTTGAAGGTCGTCTGCAACTTTTTCTCCATGGCAACGGCCGCCATGACGAGCACGTTGCCAAGCACCGTCGCCACGGTCCAGGCCGCCAGAGCGACGCCGGTCACGATGTTACGAAACGACGCATTAAACTCTGGTATGAGAAACACCTCCGTCAACGTACCGTTAGAAGCAACAGAAGCATTACTCGCGACGTCAACGAACGAAGATGAATTCGTTGCCATTCGTCACTCGAATCACCTCGCTCTCCCGTGCGCGTGCGGCGCGGGTGCGTACGACGGTATATATATGTGTGCGTATGACAAGTTGCGGTTTGCGCACGGGGACATGCGCACAGTGGAGTGGAGGCAGGTAACACATGTGTCTAAAACAAGGGGAGGAATATTGTGTCGCAGGTGGGAAACTGCGCATCGTTAATTTGCGTGCCGTGTGGAGATGTCTCTTCCCCCCTGTCAATGTCAAATGCTAAAGTATGACGAAAAAAGTATTATTTTCGAAATGTGAAGAATTTCTGCAATCCTTTGTATCGTATTTTTGTGTCAAGCGAATTTACAATTTATATGATTGCGTCTGCTTTATTTTCCAGTTTTTCGCGTATGGTCTTTGCTACGATTGATATAAAAATATGGCTATAAGTGAATATACTTATATTAATGACATCTTTATTAATGGGTTTGTTTTACTTATTTCTTCTGCTTTCATGTTGTTCTTATTTCACTTGATTTGGTTTTTCATTGCGATTTATTTTTCAATTATTATATTCATTTACATTCTTCATTGTTTACAGATTATTTACGACGTTTATCCTGAAATTCGTACAACTAATAGAAATGTCGCAAAACATCTGTGTCGAATAAATCATCAGACCTCTTGTTTTTACAGCTGTGTTTTCCATTTGTGTAGTGCAACCCGGCTGACGTCCTGTATTTCTTCATATGTAATGACAATCCGTGCGGTCGCTTTAAAATAAATACCAAAACTTCGTACGCGTTAAGCTTTGTTTGCCCACGTATTTTAATATTCTCTGAAATGTCATTCAGATACATTCCGATACCACTAAGCATTCATCGCAATAGTTGATCGCTAACTCGAAGAACTTGCTATCTCAATGCCATCGTGTAATAAGCTCGTCGAACCCACACAAGGGTAGTGACAGTGGATCTACGTGCCGTAGAAACG